GGTTAAAACTCTTCCACAGATTTTTGGATCGGTGGTGGTGAGAGTAGAAAATGAAGGAGAGAGTGTAGGTTTGTGTGAAATTGTCTTCAGTAATTACCCAGATGAAGATGAAAACTGAGAAGTATACGAAGGGGTGGATAATTACAATGCACTCACAGGTGGCATCTTCTCTTTCTATCATGGCCAGGTGTAAGAAATCAGGAAAGGACGTTTAAAATTTTAATTACGACGAGCTCGGGGCGATTACGTTTCCGAATCCGCGCTTCGCGATTTACAATCCAATAACAATTTTTACGCGTCCGCACGAATAATACTTAGCTTTATAATCCAAATATTATCTTCGAACATAGAAAATTCCCAACGTCAATTACTTATTGTTACGAAATTTTCGGATGTCACATTGGGTGTACCCTTTGGCCACCAAACGAGCTTTGTAGCGGTCAATGGTTCCATCGGCCTTTTGTTTGACAACAAATACCCACTTGCATCCAACGGTACTTTTTTTTCGGGGAAGATGAACTAACTCCAAAGTACCATTTTTCTTAAGAGCTCTCAACTCTTCTAACAGAGCCTCCTTCCACTTTTCGTTAGCTAGGGCCTCTTGCCATGTTCTGGGGATAGCTGTGGACAACAAAGATAAAGAAAAGGCACGGTAGGTTGAAGACAATCTATCATATGACACAGCATTGGATATGAGATGCTGCATACATGAACGTTTGCCTTTCCTAAGTGCAATTGGTAAGTCATTAGTTGTATCATCATTATCAATAATCTAAGAGGAGGTGCCATTACCCGGAACTGCGGTTATAGGACTAGCAGGAGGAGATTGGTCGAAGAGTAGAGTAGTGATAGAGGGGGCTTCACGAAAATTCTGTCGGTGGAACACAATCGGGTACCGAAACTGTTCCTGAATCAGAGGGGCTTCTGCTAAATTTTCTGCATTGACAGAATCAGGATTTTTAGCACTAGCTAAGTCTACTGGAGCTGCTGGTGGGGCTGTGTTTTCTATATTGGCAGTAGCTATAGCATCTGATTTTTTACCAGAAATGTTAGAAATTAACTCCCCCTGCAAGGGTATCACATCCAAACTGGAGGACACATCTTCACCATGAGTAGACTCTCCCTGAAGAGGTGTCCGCGAGTAAAACGGCTGAGACTCATGAATGATAACATCCATGGAAATAAAATAACGCCGAGTGGAAGGGCAATAGCACTTGTAGCCTTTCTGCGTGGGAGAATAGCCCAAAAAAATACACCTGATACTGCGAGGGGCAAGCTTACTGGCCGGGTGAGCAATACGAGCAAAACATTCACACCTAAACACCTTCGGAGGGACCAAAAACTTATGGGAACCGGTAAGAGCCTCAATGGGAGAGCGGTATTGGAGAATGTGTGATGGGAGGCGATTGATCAAATAAGCTGCACTCAAAATAACATCACTCCAATATTGAGCTGGAACATTCATGGCAAACATGAGGGAACGAGCCACCTCCAAGAGGTGGCGATTCTTGCGTTCCGCCACACCATTCTGTGCAGGAGTATTAACACAGCTCGTCTGATGGAGAATACCACGGTCATGTAAAAAAGCCTGAAAAGCTGATTTGGTGTACTCCGTCCCATTGTCACTTCGAAGAATACGAAGCTTGCCATCAAATTGTGTCTGAATCATTGCCAAAAACTGTTGAAAGTATTGGAAAACATCACTCTTCTGTTGCAGTAAATAAACTCAAGTAGTGCGGGTACAACAATCAATAAATGTCACAAACCAACGGTGACCTGAAATGGAGGAAACACGAGCAGGGCCCCAAACATCCGAATGCACAAGAGCAAAAGGTGCATCACTTTTATTATTAATAGAAGAATAAGTGACACGAGTTTGTTTTGCTAGAACACAAGAATCACAAAAGAAATTTTGACTACTGCATTTGTCAACTAAATCTAGAAAAATCTTTATTAAAGTTCCAAGCGGTGGATGTCCCAAACGGCGATGCCAAACATGGAGCTCAGATAGGGTAGCTGAGGAAGTTAGAGTGACAAGATGAGATGATGGTGGTGAATTGAACACATATAAGCCCCCCTATACTCTACCACGACCAATCTCCCGACCCGTTGCCAAGTCCTGAGCAATACAATAAGATGGGAAAAAAACCACTTGGCACTTCAGATCACGAGTCAGGGAACCAATTGATAGGAGATTAGTGTAAACCGTAGGAACATGTAAAACAGATGATAGAGTAATATCACGGGTAATAGACACCGGGCCCTGGCCGGCGATAGGGGCTAAAGAACCATCAACAACAGTAACACAATCAGGTTTAGGAGGACGAGAATAATCAGCAAAAAATGTAATATCTCCGGTCATATGATGCGTGGCACCCGAATCAAGGATCCACGGCCGAGAAGATTTACATAAACCACCGAAAAAACTACCTGACTGTGCAAAATTAGAGGTCAAAGTGCCCGAGGCCAATGATGTGGAGGTGCCAGGGTTGTATACGTTGCGTGCTAAGAGGAGGCGCAAACTAGTCAACTCAGCAGCAGATAAAGAGTCTGATGGAGCAGCTGGTTGCTGACCTGGGGCCTCACTTAAGTGCACCTGAGGCCCGGTACGACCCTGTCCGCGGCCACGGCCAGCATTGGAAGGGCGTCCATGAAGTTTGTAACAAGTTTCACGGGTGTGACGATCTTTTCCACAGTAATCACACTTCACAATCTGTTTGTCATTGCGTAACGATCATGCGAGATTCGCTTCCCAAAGAATAGTATAAAGGGCGGAGTGCTCGGGACAACGGGTTGATGCATCGCGCTCCGACGCTTCTCCTCTAGATGGATCACGGCATAGGATTGTTCCAAGGTCGGGAAAGGCACACGACACAAGATCTGGGCCCTAATCTGATCGTACTCCATATTAAGACTTGCTAGGAACTCAAAAACACGAAATTTGTCCACCCTTTTCCTAAAGGCAGCAACATCAAGAGGGTTGGTAGGATGAAAATCATCATAAAAATCCAGTTCATGCCATAGACTACGTAACTCAGAATAATATTGAGATAAGGACAGCTCCCTTTGCTTGGTTTCATGAATTTTTTGCTGGAGTTCATAGATTTGGGCATCATTGCCCACTTGAGAATAAGTGTCCTTAGCAGCCTCCCAAATCTTGGCTGCTGTGTCCAAAAATAAGTAGCCACGGGCGATAGAGTCAGTCATTGAATTGACAATGTAAGCCATAACCAAGGCATTCTCGGAGATCCACTTGCGGATAGCATCATCTCCGGTAGTAGGTTGCACGCTCTCTCCGGTAAGGTAGCTGGTAAGACCACGTGAAACAATGGTAAGGTAGTAGGGAGGCTCTCGGAAAGCATTGGACAGGGCATGGAGAGGTCTAGGCTATCACTACACGATGCATGAAGGCTACCGACAGCAATGGGAGGAAGAAGGGGCTACCAACAGCAACAGTAGGGAGAAAAGTAGCAGCTGACAGGTACCGGAGGTCACTGGAGATGGAGAGGCTACAGGGTGAGAGCAAAGAGGAGGAAGGTAGGGACGCAGGTTGGGATGCAGGTTGCTGGGAAGAAGAAGATGGCAGCAGGTTTCAAAGGAAGGGGTGCTAGGTTACGGCTTCACGCTCTGATACCATGTTGAGAGAAAGAATAATTTCTACTACTTTGAAAAGAGAAAGAGATACAATATATATAGAGAAGAGATAGACCTCAACCCTAAGATAACTAGATAAATAAACTAGGCCCAACTAATTAGGCCCAATAACATTAACAATAAATATAAAGAGGCTTTAACACACACACACACACACACACACACACACACACACACACACATATATATATATATATATATATATATATATAAAATAACGAGCTTTTCTCTAAACATTGTCTTTAAGGTTAACACATAGCACTTTAGTCTTTAAATAGTAAGGGATCTATCATTTTCCTCACAAGAAATACTTTTCTTACAATTTCTACTCATTTTATCACCTATTTATTACTCGTGTTCCCATTGTTCCCCTCTGTCTTTATTATCTCATTATTCTAATTGCAACTCCTTCGAATCAAAGAAGTTTCCTACCTTGATATTAGCATGATTTTCTATATTGGTACACAAGTCCGCTTACTAAAATGCAAATACATACATTACTTCTGCCCGAGACACAGTAAAGCTCAAACAACGAGGCAGATTATGAGGGGTTGGATACCCTTGGATACGCCGGTTTCCTTCGAGCATCGCTGGAAGTAGGTGATCGTGGAGCTGCAGAGGCCAGGGTTGCCGGAGAAGCTGCCGTTGGAAGCTTCGATTGACAGAGACTGCGGAATCTGACCGGTTAACCGGTTGTTAGCCATTGTCAAGGTCGCGGAGCTTGTCACATGAGCCTAACGAATCCGGTATGGAGCCAGAGAACATATTGTTCTCCACGTGAAGGCTGCTCGGCTGTTTCAGGTCACCGATTTTCGACGGAATTTTCCCCGAGAATTGATTGTAGCTCAAATCGATCGCGACCAAAGATTCGGCCTTGGAGATTTCCTCCGGCAATTCTCCCGATAGGCGGTTTTTGGAAACGAACAACTGCCCCGGAGACTTTGCATTTTCGATGTCGGATGTGATAGGACCCTCGAGCTGATTCATGGCGATGTCAATAATGTTCAAATTGGGCAAGCCCCAGATGCCACCAGGCACGGCCCCGGAGAGCAAGTTGTTGCTAACTCGGAACCGAGTCAGTGTCGAGCAATTCGCATGAGTCGCGGGGATTTCCCCACTCAGCCTGTTCTGGAGCACGAGGATCTCCGTCATGGTCCCCCCGCTTGCACATATCCGGCGGAATCGGCCCCGTCAAGAAATTCTCCGACACGCCGATGAAATCGAACTCCGACCACGAGCCTAGCTTTTCGGGCAGGGGGCCACTCAATCTATTCGTGTAGAGCGACAAGGTCACAAGCCGCTCAAACTCGCCAAACTCAACTGGGACTTGGCCTGAAAAATCATTCATGAACAGCTGCAGAGTCACCAAGTTCCTCAAGAACCTCGAGAACTTCCTCAAGCTCTGCAGGTACGTAACTGCCCTGTTTGATTGCTGCTGCTTCTTCTTCTTCTTCTTCTTCTGATCTCTTTCGTCCGTGAGGTAGTATCCCATCAATTTCGGACACATTCGCTGTCCCGAGGTTGTTCCCGCGATCAATCTCCTTTGGCCGTTGTAAAGCCCGCCCATTTTGCCTTCGAATTTTGCTGAGGTTGATAGTAGCGTACTATATCTTGTTCGGGAAGCAGGGTGTGCGTGATTGGCGGTTTTTCATGTTTTGGTGGACGAGTTTAAAATTAATCGGGAGGTGAACCCACTCTTGAGAACAATTACCAATCACCTGCACCATCTGTTTGCTGAAGAGTAGAGGCTCCTGAGGATTGTTCTGGCCTTTTTGGGATGCATTTTTTTAGCACCTAATTAACCCTTTCCCCCCTCCCTTTTGCTATCTAACTGGTGCAGGATCAAGTACTACAATGGGTGTCTGTTCCACAATGTACAGAAGGATTTCACTGCACAGACAGGCGACCCCACTGGGACCGGAACAGGCGGCGATTCCGTTTGTAAGTTAGTGACAATTGCATTGTCATCTTTTTGCCACGATTGTTCAGTTTCTGATCTTTCGTACACTTCTATGATCCAAACTTGAAAAATTCGTATTGCATCTCCTATTTCATTTTCTGATGGGAACAAAAGGAGTCTAGTTCTTCACCTTTATAGCGTGTGTAGTAGACAAGCATTAAAGAAAAAAAATGTTCTTCTTTGAGCGCATTTGGTAAATATGTGTTGTCCCACGTTTCAGTTCAATGATAAATACCTAAAACACTGAATTTTATTGTTTTGTGCAATTAAGACTGTCAATGAAGAGCAGGAAGGACTTCTTACCTATTCTTTTAGTTCAATGATTATTTTTATGAGCAATAAAGACTGTCAATGAAGCTCAGGAAGCACTTCTTACGTTTTCTTTTCATAGCAACGGATATGTTTTTGAATGAATCACCCGAGTAACTGGCACAAATTGTTCTGTTTCAGATTTCTCTATGGTGATCAGGCCCGCTTTTTCATGGACGAGATTCATCTTGATCTAAAACACTCCAAGACGGGAACGGTTGCCATGGCAAGTGCTGGAGAAAATCTCAATGCTTCTCAGGTAACTTTATTGTGCCGTTGAATTTTATTTTGTTAATGAGATGTACCGGATATGAAGGAGGCAGCTGGTTGCACTTTTCGATGCAGTTGCTTTATCTACGTTTTTCAATTCTAAGTCATTTTCTGTACATCTCATCAGCACTGTATGAGCACTCACAAGCTCAGAGAATGACTACTTATTGTTAATTTAAGTTGAAGTGTTGTTTCACTCTTCATCCGTGTACCCGAAATGCTGCTTTTGCTAACCCTGTGCTTTTACAGTTCTATTTCACTTTGCGGGATGATTTGGATTATCTTGATGGAAAGCACACGGTGAGATTCTGATTTGATTTTTCTGGTCATCCTTGATCATCATTCATGAGTTCCATGAGAATTATTCTTTTCATATCATTTCATTTCCAGCTTCATGATTTCTGATCTTTGTTATGATTCTGACTTCTTTTTAATTCATTCTTTGATGTTTACAGCAGCGATAAATTTACACCCAAATATGTGGAAGAGCTTTTACTCCTTATAGCTTGAACGAATTTTTTTGTTTGGTGGTTAAGGGGGGGTGGGGTTGGAGAGACATTAGAATGGTTTTATGCTATGCCTTTAATTGTTTTAGTCGCAAAATTGCAGATATATAGTTTTTATCCTGTTTGAGATGGGGGGTGATGAGATGGCTTTTTTTTCCACCGTTGATCGTACCGCTTAAATTTAGTTGTTCATGTTCTTTATGGAGCCTGAGTTATTATCTTGGTCTTCTCTACTTGCTCCATAATGGTCACTTCTAAGAGGTATAAATAAGGATGTACAAACTTCAGTCGGTAGCTATGTAGAAAGATCTTTCGATTGGAAATCGCAGCTGGTAATTGACATTTTTTAGGACCCAAAACAATCAGTATTTTACTTAGAGGACTATAGTGAGGCCAGTTGTAGTATGTGAAATGTGACCAATTAAGGTTAGGCAAGAAGAATGTTGTATTGCTTTGGCTAGAGGAGTGAGAAACAGGATTAGAAATGAAGTAGATGCGGGGACTTTGCAGTTGGCTGCATTAAGGATATATTGTGGTAGACAAATTGGAGAAGCTTAGGACCATTTGGGATAATGTTGGACTCCCAAATTCTTTTAATAGAAAGCAGGTAATTAGCTGCCTTGGATATTAGGCTGTGAAAAGGAAGGTTTTGGGCTCAAAGGGTTCTAAAATAATCTTTTCAAGCATCAAGACTTTCATTCAAAGGATTTTGCAAGTCCGAAGCTGTTTTTTGAGTTTCCTGAATTCGCCCTTAGTCGTTCATGGAGCTGTCTTGTATATGTGCTGGTGAGAAGGATTGGGCTGATGTTGGACTAAAATAAACAATGGTAGACCAATTGCCCAGTAAAGAAAGGAATGGTAGATTAGTTATGCATTGATAATGGAAAGAGAAGATGGTTGATCTGAAACCTGATGACCTAAGTGCGAAACAAAGAGTCCATGTGGTATGAAGGTGGTAATTTCGTTGACTCATTGTGCTGTAACAGGTTTTCATTGTGTTGAGTTGATTGAATTGCTTTTTAATACGTTTCTTGCGAACTATGTAACACGAGTCTATGAGGTTCTTTTACAAATTGCAGTGTTCCAAATGGAAATTTTTAGGGTTAACTTTTCCCTGGCTTTCCTCTTCAGGGACCATGTTCTCCTCGAACCACTCATTTGGACATTTAAGACAGATTACTAGAATAGTTAGAATTAAGTGGAGCAGCAGTTAGATTGGGTTTTGCAACAACTAAAATTTTGATCAGGCTTCTTTATCACCTGGAAGTGTCTTTTTGATTACATCTTCATGGACTATAGACACGAGCAATTTCAGTTAGTAAACACCCATTTGGAATCTAGTTCATCCTGGAGTCTCTACCTATTGGTTCAATCAATTCTATTGAATACATGTAGGGGAGTCTTGTCAAGTCATTTCATGGTTGAATGTACCCACTACTTTTGTGCATTATGGGCATTTATATGTGGTTATAAATGTGGAATGGTGTATATGGCTGGGGACTTTGTTCTATTGATGTTTCTTTTGGTGTGCCGTAAGTGTACTTAGCTGTTGCTTATCAATTTTAGATTGATTTCTTCATTTTAGTGAAAAAACTTGTAAATATAAAAAAAAGAAAACTGGAATAGCATATAAGTGATATCGTATCTGCATAATAAGCTTCCTATTTGTTGAGTTGCCTATTTTGGCTGTCAGCGTCATTGATCATTTTACGCTTGGTATTCAACAAATTATTCATCATTGTTAGGTGTTTGGTGAAGTTGCAGAAGGAATTGAGACATTGACTAGGATTAATGAAGCCTATGTGGATGAGAAGGGGAGACCCTATAAAAACATCAGGTTCATTCTCATTCCACTCTCTCGCTCATTGAATTACTATATGTCACTCTTTTGTTTATTTGCAGTATGGTTCCTATTGTTTTGAGCAGGATCAGGCACACATATATACTGGATGATCCTTTTGATGACCCTCCCCAGCTAGCTGAGTTGATTTCTGATGCTTCGCCTGAAGGAAAGCCGAAAGATGAGGTATTGACTGCTTAAAGATTTTATTATCAGTTAGCCTTCGAAGCAAATACGATCGCAAATACTCTCGGTCATTTTAAATGCTCGAATAATACATTAGTATATGTATTGTCACCAACTGCTTTGCACAATTGGCATCTCTTTAATCACGTCGATAGAGATTGAAGTTGGACAAGAATGCTCTGAATATGCTGCCAAAATTCATACTTAATGAGTAAATATATGATAAAATGCAAGGAGTGGCTTATCTCTATGACAGCTAGAGTTAAGGTAAATCAATTGTGTTTTTCAGTTCCAAGTTTCCTAAAAGAAACGCTGGCATGAAATTAATGCGTCTCCTCTGCCCTTTCTTTTCCCTTCCTAGAAGTTTATCTAGAATGATTCATGTTTATTTCACAGCATATGGTTTGTTTATGTATGTCGGAAGCAGATGGTTGATGAAGTGCGACTTGAAGATGACTGGGTACCTTTGGATGAGCAACTAGGCCCGGCTCAGCTTGAGGAGGCTATCCGTGTTAAGGGAGCACGCTCTAGTGAAGTTGTGCTTGAGAGTGTAAGTAAATCTGAGATGTTTTTCTCATGCTGCTGTATCCAGATGTTCTCTTCATCTTCTTCACAAAGAATCCTCTTCTGTCTCATCTACATTACAGATTGGGGATATTCCTGATGCTGAGATAAAGCCTCCAGACAATGTGCTCTTTGTTTGTAAACTGAATCCAGTTACTGAAGTGAGTTTGCTAATTGCCTAGTAGGGGGTGATTTCTGAAAGTCGTTTTGAATTTTTTTTTTACTACACATTATTATTGACTGATGGATGGATTTTTCTTTTTCCTTTTCTTTATGGTTGTTGCTTATCACTACACCTTACGTCTGAATTCTCTGTCAAATCTTTTACTTTTGATGCAGGATGAGGACTTGCATACAATCTTTTCACGATTTGGAATTGTGGTATCGTAAGTACACCTTTGCTTTCCTGTTCTACTATTATTGCTCATCGCTTCTTGCAGTTGCTTTGGACAGCTGATTCTTATTGCAAAGCTAATGATGATGACCTTGACAGGGCTGACATCATCCGTGATTTTAAGACTGGAGATAGTTTATGCTATGCATTCATAGGTAAGTTTATTCTGTTCTGGAATTGTCTTTCTTCAATTGACTTTCTACGCTGAGAAAAATTAATTAACTTTCTGAAGAATAGCACGAATTAGATGGTAGATAACCTGTTGATATGAGAAAGTATGATAAAGAAACAAAGTTTGCGAATGAACAATATGAGAAATGGGTCATAATATTAAGTTCTTTATTGATCGATGTTAGTTATGAGGAGTTTTCACAAGATTTCAGCTATCTCGCAATATACAATTGCTTTTCAAATGTATCGACCATAAAACAGATTGCATATGACAAAAGAACTAAGCCTTATCTTACTAAATTGGTCTGCTATATAAATCCTTCTACTTATTGTGATTTATGTTGTATGAAGTCATATTCTTCATCTTTTTTCATCATGTCCTTCCATATCTTTTTCATACTTTCCCTAACTCTTTCAACCCAAATCTTGGTCCTATAGTAACATCTCATTGGAGCATCCAAAGTCTTTTGTCTTATGTGTTGAAATTATCGTGACAAGTTTCTCTCATTTTATCCTTTGTTGGGTTTATAACCACTTCTTTCCCCAATATTCTGAATAAAAGGGACTGCGTATAAAAAAATTCTAGCTGCTTCATCCTCTAATTTCATTTCCATTTCCAATTATGCTCAAAATAGATAATATATGGTTCGTATGTACAAGAATGGTAAATTGCATCGGTGATTAGTAAAGTTTTGTCACAATCAAGTCACAAACTTTGACCTTTTGCAATTAAAGTACTTTGATCGGAATCTATTTCTTTTTTTGTTTTTTTTTTGCAAAATGTGCATTTCAGTGACCATAGATGAAATTTATCTTGTTTAAGAAAATCTGATAGTTATGTGAAATTCGATATTAAGTTTGTCCACGATGAAAATTTTAGAGGATATAACGATGTCTTATAAAGACTTTTAATCTCTCTCATAAGCCAAAGATCCCATTATTTGGTTCTCGTCTTGTTTTACTGGTCTTGTGTCACATGACGATTCTGACAAAGGAAAAAGTTGAACATACAGTAATCATGTTAATGTTCTTTTGCCAGAGTTCGAGAACAAGGATTCATGTGAGCAGGCATATTTTAAGTTACATTGATTTAAACACTTGTTCAACTTTCCGTATTTCCATCCTATATGTTCCCTTTGTTTAACTTTTGTTTTTTATTTGGGGGTTTTCATGCAATTGTGAATTTTATTTCTCTGCATGTGGCTGTCGTTTTCCTGAATATGTTGGTTTCCTTATTCTTATTATATTAAGGCAGTGTTGTTCCTCTCTTTGATTTATTTGTGATATCACAAGAGAGTTGATGAGAATGTTTCCTTATCATTTCTAGTTTCTACTTCCACTCATTTCATTTCCTCCCTAGAAATACCAAGCAAAGGGAGCTTAAAATTTAAATCTGTGGGCATCTCATCCCGAGAAGGGTGACCATGATGAGGGTCTATGGATCTGCTTCAATTCCGTATGGAAACATCGCTGCTAGCATGTGTGTCCTTCAGAGTTGAGATACTATTTATGGTCATTCCAAAAGAAGCCTTTCCAGGTGAAAGAAGAGTCATTGTTGTGTGAACTCAAACTTTGCCTAATGGCTTTCCAGGACGACATCCCTGTGTGGGAATATTACCAAATTGTGCAGGACAAAGCTCTCTGGCTGAATGAATTCCATCTTAGCATAATCTATATCATAACAAAATATATAGCTACATTCTTCCAAATTCTGTCGGATTCCAAGAGAAATGGAGCTGATCCTTCATGGTAATTGTTGAAAGAGACCCTAGAATCGGTTATTCAGAAGCCCAGTAGATCACCACCCATCTTGTTAGAAAATTTAAACGTATCATTGGTCGATTGAGAGATTATATTGACAACTGTTCTAAAAGCTTAAGCTATTAGATGAAGGTGTAGTTTAATATTTAATTACTCTAACACTCCCCTCATGCTTAGTCTAGTCTTTTTGCCTAGTACTAAGCGTGGACATATTTAATTGGGGAGGCAAATGGGGTCTGGAAAGATTCGAACTCAGGACCTCCAGCTCTGATACCATATAAGATTTTGGTGAGACCACTGCCAACTGTTCTAAGAGCTTAAGCTGTTAGAGAAAGGCGTGGTTTTATATTTAAATACTCTAACACCTCTGACAGCCAAAGTGTCTCCTTCCTCTCCATTTTACATCAGTCCATGCTTCACTACACAATATTTATAAATCAGAAACCATATTGAGAAGTTGTTCTTATATCATTGGAGCCTTCAGCCACTAGAGCTTTGTTCAAATACACCTTAATATGATCTTGCAGCATCTCTGTGCTTCAAACGTTTCACCACTTCCGTTGTTGACTTGGTGGAATTCAGAAAACTAATTTCAGTTTCCCTAAAGTAGAGAGATATGAGGTTCATGGGAAGTCGTGATACATTCTTGGCATGTGTACTCTTTAAAGAATTGGAGTTTCGCTATTCATCTGCAGATTAATGCCTCTCTTTACAAGGACAGAGTATGAGAACAACCCTGACACTTCTTGAGTATTCAAAATCTATGCAGACACCTCCTAAAAGCTTCTCAATCCATGCTATATTTGTCCTCATCAAAGCTGTCTGGCCAATAGTTGTCTATAAAAAATTGAGGTGATCCTATGCGATATCACTTACTTTCCTTGTCGCAACGGGGTCAGATTCCTCAATGGTTGTGATTCCACTTTAGCATATTTAACTGTTCGGTCTCATACAATTTTAAAGCGGGCATACCACATTAGAACTTTAAAGAGCTTAGGATTTACACTAGCCCCAGAAGAAAATTGGGTCATTGGCTAGGACTATGCGAATGATGTTTTCTTTGCTTTCTCTTCTTCTTATATCAAAGGCATTTGAGACTTTTGTTCTTTGTCTTGGTGAAGTCATTGCTTGAAGTGCCAGTTTCAAGAGCAACAAGAGGAATGAGATGAAGTGGATGAGAGGTTGAGGATACTTATTTTAGGGTGGGTTTGTTTCGCGGAAAACTGCTTATTGGAGAAAAATGTTTTTAGTGAAAATTATTTTCAAGGAAAATGATTAGTTTTCAGTTGTTTGGAGAACTGAAAACTGTGGGTAACTTTCTTTATGTTTTTATACAAATGTGAAACCTACTAGTTGGTTTTCCTGTTTTTTTGTTCACTAATCTTTTCATGGTTTTCACTTCATTTTGGAGATGCCTCTTGCAACAATCGACTGCTATCATAGAAAAAACAGATATACATGCTTTATAACTCATATACGAAGAAAGTATTTAATATATAAAAATGGCTCATTCTGGAAGAGCAAATGAAGGGGAAAGAGGATATTATGGAGATCCCCTAAGAAAAGCATGAACTTAAAATTTGTTTATCCTGATCTTGGGATGGGCGACTTGGCTCATTACATTCTTAATTTTGATTGTTTTTAATTCTAACTAAAAGTGGTGGCATCATTTATCCTCTATGATTTAAATAGTCCTCCCTAATTTCTCAAATAAGTTATTGTTGCCTGTGACGCAGCTGTTTTGTTTGTCTGATTTTTCATGGCAGATGGACAATGCCTTGATTGATGACAGGAGGATAAAGGTGGATTTTAGCCAGAGTGTTGCAAAACTTTGGTCCCAGTACAAATGTAAAGATAGCCAAGCGGCTAAAGGTAAGGATGCACTCAAACTCTGGAGTTTCTCGCTGCTTTCGGGTGAAAATTTTCTTGAATGGTGAAAATATTTATGTCCAACTTTGTGTGCTGGAGGACGAATTGATGCATTTCCTCTATAAGTGGCCATGGTAGAGGAAAACACTTGTACGTGTTCTCTGTGGGTAAGGTTGGTAGTTTATCATATGCAACTTTAGGAGTTGTCAGCAGTGGCAAGGTCTTAAGACCGTTGTGTTTCACTGAGTTAAATGTGTCTAAGGCAGAATTTCTGGAGAAAATAGGACAGTGTGTAATCATTGTAGTGCATGAAAAATTGCAAATAGCCTTTTAGTGGTCAAACAAGCACGTGCCGTAAGGAATATTTGAGGTTCTAAATTAAGTTCCATGCTGAGCTGCTTCAAAAATGTGTCAGCTTGGATCTGTTAATTAGCAAATGCAGTTTATGCGGGCCTTAAATTGAGCCTTGTTTTATGATGATCTAGTCAAACATGTCGTTTTGCATGTTCTTTGTTCCCTCCAACGAAATATGCGACTCAGTAGTCAGATTGGCAATTTGCTTGTGTTTGCTTATGGAAGCTTTTACTTTTTTTGCTTTTCATTCAAGCACTATGTTTGCCTGCACGAGATCTAGATTATATGGGGACTATGCTTAACGTTGGTTGTATTCTATGCTTAATGTGGATGTATGATAATTAACGTCGCTGTTGTTTTGATTATTTCTTATAATAAAGTACTCTTTGATTATTGACTGTAGGAAAAGGTTGCTTTAACTGTGGGGCTCCTGATCACATGGCCAGGGAATGTACTGGAAGCTCCACTAGACAGCCACCTTCAAAGTACATTCTGAAGAAGGACAACACACAGAGGGGTGGAGATGACTCTAGGTTTGTTCCTGGCAGTGCCTCTCTCTCTCTCTCTCTCTCTCTCTCTCTCTCTCTCAGTGTGTGTGTGTGTGGATTTGTGTGCATGGCCGGCATGCATTTGTGTGCCTCTGCATGTGGGATTCTGACAGTCTAATTCCTCTTTAGGTATGAAATGGTCTTTGATGAATATGCACCAAAAAGTCCAAGTCATGGAAGAAAAGGCAAGGACGAGATGACTGGGATGATAGCCATAAGATGAGCAGGCAAAGTGCTGAAGAAACAAAATTCAGTGATAAAGAGAGAAGGTACTCTGTTGATAAGCATAAGCAGAGCGAAAGAAGTAAGCATAGAGAGGATGAAATGAGTCGAGATGGTAAAGCTAGTGAAGCTGGTAGCAGAAGAATTGACGGGGATTATCCGGAAGAGCAAAGAGACCGAGAGAAATATGTGGAGTCTCGGAGACAGAGATGGTAAGAGAGGTGATTATCGAGATTATAAAAAGGGAAGAGCAGATTTTGAGAATCACAAAGATAGGAGAGGTGATGAAAACTATAGTAGAAAGAGTGCTGCTTATGATGATGGCCATGAAGGTGGCAGAAATGCTAAGAGAAAAGATCCCGACGATGATCACCATGCAGATAGGAGAGGGTATGGAGATTCTAGGAAGGGAACTAGAGATGAAGATGGCGATGGGTGAGGAAGGAGGGATGAACCTAGTTATAGGAGAAACAATGGACGCAAAGATAGCTGCAATGGTGGAAGGGAAGAGCAGAAGTATAGAAGTCGAGACACAGATGGCAAGAGTCATCGGGAGAGAAGCCATCAAGGCGATAGCAGGAGATGAAGGGCTGGCCAGGGTACAAAGACTTTTCTGATGATGAACAGGTCAATGACAATTCTTCTACTTGAGAACTCCCTGGTAGGGATAATGCTCTACGCGAAGCAATGTAGGATGGGATGCCTATTGCTATCTATCAGCGTGCTGCATGACTTTAAATAGCAGATGTTGACCATATCCCAAAATTCTGGTTTTGATTGGATTATTTTGCACTCATCAATCTCTCTTTGATTATGTCTCGTGGTAAAGGTTTCGGAAAATGATCATAGATCACATTTACATCATCCTTTCTACTCCAAAGGGTTCGTAATAGAGAGAAACAGAACTTAAACAAATCCACCATTGGGATCACTCTTGGGTTAATAGAACGTAAAAAGATCCTTCATCTCCAGTTCGATTGGGAAACGTCCTTGATGTCAATACAAGTCGAGCAAAAGAAGCAAGCAAGAAAGTTATACACTAGGCAATGAGCATGCTCCTCTTCGCGCTCATGTTCTGCATGACATTGAGAAGCCCTTTGATCTCTTCACAATCTGTCATCACATTTTAAGACTGCTAGTTTAATTAGTACTTGGTGATAAATGTGAGAATTTTCACGCTCTATTGGATCGTCATCCATTTTGAGGCATTAGTTTTGATCACCTGTTATCTAATGCAGACATACTCCTTGCAAGAATTGTTTTGGAATTACAAATAAACTGTTAGCATCGGTTACAGAATTACTTGTGGGTCTCTTCTCTTCCCTCCTAACGACAGCAAAAACCTAAATTAGGTTAAAGAATGTGGAGTATTTTCTTCAGGAACAATAATCTAGAAGAATTAGATTTACCTTGGTATCTCTTTATCGAATGAGCATATGTGGGGATCAGCTTGGTCCTCTATTCAGCTCTCAGACACACAGCATCGCCTGGATTGAAATGTTGTCGTGCGATGCTTCATATGGAGTTTTTTCCGTACACAACACAAATTGCCGTTTGAGGGGAACAAGAATCATCATGGATTACCAAGGCAGTGGCATTTGGTTTGTGACACGTTCCTATCAGACCAACATGGTTTCCCTCAAAACGACGAAGTCATGTTTTTTTCTCTCGTCCCCCTTGACAGAAAAACGACGAAGGACAACGTCCACATAATAATTTTCTAGTAATGTACGAACTGATGCACATAATTTATTCGCATAGGTAAGAGCTTTCAACAAGAAAAATACTCGTCTTCACTGAATCTCTAGTCTGTTCACCCCAAAAAAAGACCATAAAAAGAATCTGTGCATACCTGCACCAAAACGAGCTGAAACTTCCATTAGCTTGTAGATGCAAGAAAATGAAAAGAAACACATTGTAAAGTTTAAGTAGTGATCTAAATGGCCATTGCTACTCTTTAATATGTGAACTGACCACATAGGAACGTCTGTCTTTGTTTTTTCGTCAGAGAATTGAGTGGCGGTTGAGGTTGTCAAGGGTCTCGCATTGTTTTAACATGAAGTTTTTAAAAGTCCTTAAATATATGTAAAATTCTGGTTGAGAATATCTAACCGAGGTAACTTCAAGTAGCCTGAAGTTAAATTCTGAAAGACACTGCCATCATCAGATTCTCGTGGCATTCTGTGCTCATGTTAAGTGTTATAGATCTCAGCAAATTCGAGTTTATATGCCTTTTCTTTTTGTCCTCTTCTCTTAGGATTTACAGTCTCTGTAAATATCCAAAACTATGTTTTTAGACTTCCTGTCTTCACAATTGCTGTCATCTAGTATCTATCTTTTGAAAAAAGAGAGAGAAAGAAAGAGGGAAAGAGAGTATTTTACATTGAATTTTCGTCTCACTTTGGGTGGCAGTACCAATCTCCAATGAAGGATCTTTTTTCAGAAAGACAATGTTAGAGGTGCAACAGTTGCCGACCAAACCCAAGAGCTTTATTGATCAAGGGATTTTATGCGATAGTAACAGCAGGTGCTCATCCAAACTGCAGGAGCAACGCAAGATGACACTCAGCCCAAACTCTGCGTCCAAGGAATCTCGACTTGTGTGTGCCTTTCTTGTCGAGCTCTTTTAGAGGAATATTTCCCTGTTTTTCCTTGGTTTTATGGGTATGGGAATTTAACTACTAGCTCACTCTTTCCTATTAGTGAAGTTGGTTTCGTTATATTAAGTGACTCCACATTATCCTTGTTGGCTGCGCATTATGATAGGACTTCACTGATTCTGGTGTTCTCCATGCACTTTGCAATTTATTGTCGTCAACATGCTTTTCGCCGCACCAACTTTATGGAGCTCAGAATGTTCCTTTCTTCCAATAATCTGACGGTTAATTTTGCTTATCTATCCTCTCCTCTCATTCATGACGTTAGTAAAATGATACCTTTCATACTTGCAAACTTCAACAGAAGTTCTACACGACAACCCTCCGTCTTGCTTACCAGAGTTTTGGAGTAATATACGGAGATTTGAGCACATCCCCGATATATGTCTACAGAAACACGTTCTCTGGTAGCTTGAGAGACCACAAAGAAGATCACGAGATCTTTGGGATACTTTCTTTGGTAATCTGGACTTTGACTATCATTCCCATCTGCAAGTACATGATATTTGTCTTAGCAGCGGATGACAACGGTGAAGGTGCTCACTCTGGCTCACCACTATTTAAGCACTACAAAGTTTGTCATTGCTATGGCTTTTCATTGCATTGTTACAGTACAACGTTGTTTTGTTACAGGTGGTACGTTTGCTTTATACTCATTATTATGTCGGCACTCAAAGATGGGACTGTTGAGCAATTCATATGCTGCATATCAGTGCATATCATCTTACAGTCCTGAAGCCTCATTAACAAGGGAGACAACAGCCAGCTTGCTTATCAGTGAACTCTTCGAGAAGCATCAGAGCTCTCGGAAATTACTGCTGCTGATTGTACTTTTTGGAACTAGCATGGCTATTGGTGATGGAGTTCTTACTCCAACAATGTCAGGTACCGGTTCATCTTCTCTCTCTTCTTTTAATTTATTTTCACGTTGGTGGCATATTGCTCATACTGTTTTCAAGTCTAACTTATTCTGATGCAATTCATTCCGAATGTGATATCCTGTCCTTTCTGCGGTCCAAGGAGTCAAAATCAAGATTAAGCATCTAAATGAAAGTAAGTGCTATCAGTGTATAAAGTGTTTTGCCCTTACCACAACTGTTGTCTTTCAAGATTCCTTTTTTTTTCCGAGATTGTATGTCTATCAATTTTTAGTTATCTTGTTACATCCTTTGGTCGTAGAGTAAAACTGGAAAGCAATTTCTCGTCTTCTGGTCAAACAGTTCGAAATTATATAGAATGGTCCAGCTCTAGGAGCTTTAGATATGGCTGGGAAGATAACACTGAGGAAAACCTCTCCTTTCTACATTAAGGGATTGGAGAGGCCTTAGCATGGTCAAGCTTCATGGATGTTGTAGTTCTCTAAACTAAATGGATATGACATGTCTCAGATTACACCATGCTATTAGCGTGTATTATCTTGGTGGGCCTTTTTTTTTTTTTGATAATCGAGGTTTCCGCGCGGCCGGCAAGCTAGGGCTCAAACCAGCGGTGATGCCCGACTAGTCCTCGAGGGAGCTAGCGCAACATCCCACCGCCACGACCCCCCACTTAAATCACCGATGGGCAAGTTTGAACCCAGGACCTCTCGTGAAAGAAACTGAGCACAAACCAACGCGGCCACCGATGGGTGGGTCTTGGTGGGCCTTTTTGCTCTCCAGCATAATGGGACACACAGAGTCGGCTTCCTTTTGGCTCCTCTGGTGATGGCTTGGCTGTTATGCATCGGTGGAGGGGGGATCTACAACATACTTAATTGGAATCCTCGAGTTATTTGCGCTGTGTCGCCATACTACATCTATGAATTTTTCACGAAAGCTGGAAAGCCAGGATGGAGCTCATTGAGGGGTGTTGTTCTTTGCGTCACAAGTTGGTTAGGGGTGCTCAGGTGCAGAAGCTATGTTCACGGATCTTGGTCACTTCTCCAAACTGTCAATCAGGGTAATGATTAGTTAAGGAAGCTTCCCTAGGTTTTGACTTCTCTAGTCTAACTAATGCTGATTAAAATGCACAACTTTGATTGACCATTTTGTTTTTAAATTTAACTGCATCAATAATTTTTTCATTCTGCTTCGAGGTGCATATATCCAGTATCTGTCAGTCCAGGAAATATAATTCTTGATCTTGCACATGCTTATCAGGTTGGGTTTGCAGCTTTTTTTCCTTGCTTAGTTTTGGCATACATGGGTGAAGCTGCTTACCTATCTAAACACGGAGACGACCTTCAGCATAGCTTCTACAAGGCAATCCCCCGGTAAAGCCTAATTAGCATATCTGCTTATCCTACTTTTTGTTTTTTGTTTTCCTTTGACAGTTATTTGCATTTTACTGATACTGACCAAGTAGCTCTACTTATTCTGTTCATGGCACTTTCTTATTCATGTTTCTATCAAGTTTTTCATGGAAAAAGAATGTGTTTTGGTTTTGCCTATAGAATGGGAGTAGCGAGTTTGAAACTCAAGTACTTTACATAGCGGGACTGATCTTTGCTGCTTCCACATCTCTACTTCCATGTTATTCTATCCCTACAGAGCAAATATTCTGGCCAGTGTTTGTTATTGTTACGCTTGCGACAGTGGCGGGAAGTCGAGTGATAATTTCAGCAATCTTCTCAATCATTAGTCAGTGCAGGGCCCTAAGAAGCTTCCCTTGAGTGAAGATAATACACAACGAACAAATGTCTCGGGGGGTTCGGGGGCGTAGCCTCCGAGGAATTTTTTTTTGGGGAGCCCTATTTATACCGCGGCTAGGTTTTCTCATTAATACAGAGAGAGAATTTTGTTTTCGGAGAGTTTTTTGTGAGCCGTGAGCTTTTGTCGTTGTTTCGACTTCTGAAAACTGTACGCTCTTTGATTATAGTGGAATCTTGTCTTGCCTCGCCCGTAGACGTAGATCACACGTAAATCCCTGTGTTCTGTATTTGTTTTTCCACATCTGTTTACAACATTCTATTTCTCCGCACGTCTTGCCAGAGTGCGTAGAGGTGGTTGGCTTCCTCTCACCTTCTCTTTTTCCTTCTTGTTCCTGATGTCTATATGGCACTGTGTAACTATTCAGAAGCATGCCTATGAGCTTCAGAACAAGGTGTGCTCGTACAGCCTTTTGAGTCTTGGGCCAAGCCTCAGTCTAACCCGGGTTCCAGGGATCGGCCTTGTACACTCGTCGGACATAGCCTCTGGAGTTCCCCCAATGTTTGCCCACTTTGTCTTAAATTTCCCTGCTTTCCAACAAATGCTCATCTTTGTTACTATCCAGTTCTTGATGGTACAGAGAGTGCAGGATGAAGAGCGATTCCTCATTGGCAGGGTTGGCCCACCAGGAGTGTGCATTTATCGGCGCATTGTAAGGTAAACTAGTGGTGACTCTATATGGATCAAATCGTTATCCTGAAACTAAAGTTTATGGTTTGGAATTATATGTTTTCAACAGGTATGGATATAGGGATGCAAGGGACAGCTACAGCTTTGAGATGCGGCTCATGAGAGAAGTGATGGAGTTCTTGATATCTGACTATGAATGCCACGAGGAAAGAATTGGAGGTGGTGGCGATTGAGGTGGTGGAACTAGAAGTAGGAAGAGAGTAGTAGGATCAAGAAAAGGCCGGGGCGATGAAGGAGCTGATGGAGGCTGATGAATCTGGTGGTGTAGTTTACATGATGGCAACATGTTAGAGTTAAATTTAGCGGAAGATTGAAGATTCCGATTATTCATGTATAAACAATAACCATGCATAATCAGAATCGAGTGCGGAAACGTGGAAAAATCTGTATTAACCTTCAGCCATTGATGAAATCGAGAACTTGATATGTGGAGTTTTGAAGATCGTCAATAGATACTTCTAGCCAATTGCCTTCTCAACGTTAATGGTGTGTTTTTTGATACCTCAGATATTCAGCTTAAGAGAGGGTTTGGCTTAGATGACATATTTATATCCCCAAGCATATCCTTATAGATAACTTCTTCCATCAAGATAGTTATCTTAATATTGGGCGATCATAGTTATCATGTATTTTAATGTGCTCAATAAACATTGACGGAATTAATTAATGTGGGCAATAATAAACTGAATGTGGGATCACATTATAGATAATATAATTATAACATTCTCCCACTTGATCCTAACGTTTCATCAAACGAAATATTGAACCAAATCCACAAAAACTTCATGCTGAAAATAAAACACATAAATTCATGGCAATAAGTCCTCTTACAACAAGTATTATCTTTCATGTATCACAATGCGTCTTATTAGCCCATATGTGATAGCATAACTTAATGAATAAATCTTATGTTTATTCTAGGTCAAAAACGATTGTTATTCTCAAAATAACCCAATGTGTACACCATAATTGAGAATAACATCACAATTGAGTAAGAGTTTCACAAATTCGTCCATATGCCAATTCCCATCATAACCACATGATCATTCTAACTCATTAGTGGCATGCCTTTAGTTAAAGGATCATCTAACATCAATTTAATGCTAACGTGTTCTATGACCATTTTATTCTCTTTAACACGCTCCCTTGGGGCTAAATACTTAATGACAATGCGCTTAATTTGACTATCACTTTTGTTGTTTTTAGCCATGAAAACCGCAGCTGAATTGTCACAAAATATCCTAATGGCTTAGCAATGGAATCCACAATTCTAAACCTTGATATGAAACTCTTCAACCACACCATGTGAAGTGGCCTCATAAGCATGTAATATTTTGTACCTTAAAGGTACCTCATCACCTTCTTTGCAATCCAGTGGTCTATACCTGGATTACTCTGATATCTTCACAACATTCCCACTATAAAAGTAATGTCAAATCAAGTGCAAATCTGAGCATACATCAAGCTTTTGACAGCAAAAGCACAAGCAAATGCAGATTTCCTTTCAACTTAGTGAAGTTGATTCTCGATGTTCGGGGTTGTAACTTTAATTTAAGCTTTACATATTGACTTTTTTAGTTTCTGAAGTTGTATTGCAATTTTTCATCGATAAAAATATTTCTCAAAAAGGAAAAACAGGCGTAGATCCAAGAAGAATCAACAATCACCAAGTACCAATCGACGATGTTTGATGGTCGAATGGTTTAGATCAAGACCAACACTGGTGATCTCACAGAATGAGCGGCGGCTACAGGATCAATTGACGGTAGTTCTGGACCAAATACTGTTCAGTGGTGATCGAAGACTAACCAGCAACCACCGGGGAACGACCAACAACGACCCAAAACCAATTCGCTGTAACCAAGGCTAGATCAATGCTGACTTAGGTTCGCAAGAAAGAGAGTCCAATCGAGGCTGATTATGACAAACTGAGCACTTGGAATCAAACAAAGGCAACTTAAGATCAACCCAACAACCTGAGACTGAACAACCGGGACCTGCAGCCGAACGACACCGACTTGTGGATTGGTGACTAGTCGTGGAGATTCAATTATGAACTGGAGCTCAAGATTGGGCCATTAGGCCATCTTGAATTGGTCAGTTCTAGAGGCACAGTGACGAGGAGTTCAAGGTCCGTCGGCTCTTCTAGTGTTTTTACCTTGTCCAGGGGAAAAAAGTAGCGGGAGATCAAAATCCTAATGCCGACTAAGCAAAAGCGTTAGGATTTGAAGGAAATTGCAGAGTCCGCAGTACCTCAGAGCATGTCATGATAGGCCATCTCGTCTAAGGCATAAAACCTGTCAAATTCTCAGGCATCCATCCATCTATAGAGAGAGAGAGAGAGAGAGAGTGGGACTTCTCATTTATTTCCAATGATGCGAATTCCTCTACATACAGAATTTTACAACTTTGCTCATTACCGAGCTCGTATACTTTCCTAACAAGAAGCTACGACAATATACAAACAAATAAGTGATCTGCTGTAGGTAAATGAGCAGTCTGTGAGAAGCTCCCTCAACCTAGACAATTGATTTACCACAGATATAACTAATTCAAAATGTCTCAACCTGCCGCAATTCAAAATTTGTACTTGCTCTTCTTAGTCATGCACAGACAGGTATCTCTCCACTGATGAGAGCAAGATTCAAGGGCTTCATGTACTCTTAAGTAATGCATTTCTATTCATGGAAATCTTCGTAGGGAGAGGATCCGCTGGAGGAGTCGCTCTCAACGCTGTAGTCTCACTTGGAGAAGACGGAAGGGATTCTCTTGCTTGTGACGATGAAGCTGACAAAGCGCAGCAATATATAAGTACCAACATCAACTTTAAAGCATTCAGATCATGGCAAGTGAGTGGACCAACGCTCTTAAACTAGTTAAACATGCGTAATGTAGTAACTGCAAAAAGTAACAAGAGAGAGAGAGAGAGAGAGAGAGAGAGAGAGAGAATCCAGGATGAGAGAAAAAAAGAATTCCAGAACCAGCATCCTAAGCAGTGTTTTCCGCCTTTCTGAAAGGGATTTTGAACCTTTGGTTGTTTACCATTACCAGCTAGGCACAGAATTTCTAGGAGATAAAACCTCAATCCCACCAGCAGTATCACGTGGCAGAAGTCCAAAAGCTATGAAAGATAAGCCAATAAACTTCTAGCTCACTGACAATAGGTTGGTCATGATCTCTCTCTCTCTCTCTCGCCCTGGACGTGAATGAGGACATCAATGCGCTCATACAGTTTTAAGAGTTCGAAGTGGAGGAGCTAGATTCACTGACAGTTCCACAAAACCTTGTTCCTTTCTGGTCCTCTTTCGACTTCTCAGCCAGAGGGGAATAGAGGGCCAAAGGTATAATCATTGACAAATTTGAGAAAGAAAAACCACAAACCTTTCTGCCCTCTGCTGCGGAACTTCTTCGTGTCACCTAATGAGCCTCTTTGCTTTAGTTATGGTGAGCTGCCTTAGCAAATGGAGAGGACTCCAAATCACTTTCACTCCATTCACCGTCATTTTCTGCTTCACCCCGCATTGTCCGTAGAACAAACTTCTTCGCCTTGCGACGTTGGGTGTTGAAAAGGCCTCTTATGGAAGAAACAAAACCATCACCTGCTCCGTCACTGGTACGCTTAGGCCGGGATATAGGATACTGTTCATTCTTCTCGGCCAGACCTCCTTCATCGTCACTAAAATTTAGATCGCTGTCAGGAACACCAGTCCCATTGTGCTCACTCTGGCTATGTGCTTTGTCTTTGAATTTTTTACCCCGCACAATATGTAGGGAAAGAAATATAAAGACGAAAATAATGGAAAAGGCTTAGCACCTGATACTTGAGAAGAACTCAAATGGTGAGATTCCCAACACACTTTTAACTTGAATTCTTCTCAACTTATCAAAGTTAATATCACTACAAACAAATCCTGCATTGCTTGTTGGGGAAAAGCATGGTCAACCATGTTGAAGTCTAAAAGCTTCAGCATGAGTCCCAACCGAAGGAAAAATATCACAATTTAGTCGTGTAGGTTGCAATTAAAGGCCACTCAATTTGGATCATTGTTTATCATGACTCTTCAATAACTGCATTCCGATCACGGACTTCAGGACTCCCCAGATAATGTGCTTCCTCACTCGCAAGAAGAGTCGTCTCCATGTGCCAGTAAACTCCACACGGTGAAATGTATCCATGAGCAACTTAAGATCATTCACAACAAATCTCGATCCTTAATAAGTTACCAACAGCTCCACCTATGCCAGAGAAAAATAAGACTTCAGACGAGATGAGGTTGCTGCAGTTCTATTGCAACAACATTATTATGCATGGACAAGAGCAACCTGACTGATCTTGATATTGTGAAACTCCATTAGCTTTCGCGGTCTAAATCTTTTCTCATTGTGTGACTATACTAATTTCTTCTCTTCATGAGATGACCAACCAGATTTGTCGGGTCTTGAATCCTTGAGTTTGTTTCGAGAAGATTCATCTTGTTGCTCGGCAAAACCAAGTGGCCCACTCTTCGAGGAAGAAGTGGCTGAAGAGTGAAGCTGTAAAACTAGTTCATTGGCAACAGATTCTGCAACATTTTCTTCCCATGATCTGTCAAAAGAGGAAGTCCTTCTCAATTCCGGGGTAGTACCACAGACGAGGTTTGCTTTAAAGTTCTGCACTTTAGACGGCTTCAACCAGTTCGAGAGTCATTAAAAAATAAAGAGAGTCAGTTAATAAGTTCTGATTTCGATACTAGTGCTACATAATGAAAAAAGTTCATCAATATGATAAACACAGCAAAATTGGTCTGCATCACATGGGTAGCTGATAGGAAGGACAAACAAACATCCAGTGCAAAAAAAATACCAGTTACTAGAATTAATACACTGATTACCCAAGCTGTACTTCTGCAGATTTCCACTAATGCCATGATAAGGTAAATACAGGAGACCAGAAAAGAGCAACAATCAAGTACTAATTGGCCAAATAAAACTCGGTAGAAGCAATCATGTACTAGTTGCCTGAATAATAATGATTTATAGGCTCCACATCAATGACACGAACTCACTTACAATGTGTCTGCTGGAGAGGACTGACTATTTGAGGAAACTGTAGGGATAGTAGATTTATAAGGAACTTAAGATTCTCTTGTTGAGGAAACATTTGATGTTGACGCATCCTGAGAGGAGCCTTTCTTCACCCGTTTGGAGCTGACAGTAGTTGAAACCTTCCAGACTTCCTGCATTGTTGTTAACTATCAATTCCCAGCATTGAAAAGGTTTACTGAAAACTATCAAAAGGACTGCTCTAAGGAGAATTGTCACAAATGTAGAAGAGCACAGAGTGTAATCTAACCTGTCGTCGTTGAGTATCCTGTTCCTCTTCAGGGAAAAAATATTCCCACATCATTCTGTACATTGTCTCAGTCAAATGGATCCTGAGGGGGTAAATATCTACCTACAGTGTCGGAAAATTGGTGGAACAAAACAAACTGTCATGATGAAATTTCAAGTTTCTATAGTATGTGCAAGTTTCAATTTTCTGGATATGCAATTCAAGCCCAACGTCTCTACACGATTTAAAAGCATATGCTCCTGCAGCTACTATTTTGTAAATGGATGTGGCTATAGAAATAAACTGCATTACCTGGAAAAGTTCAAGAGGAGAATTCCCGTCCTTGGGAGCTCCTTGTTTTGCATCATCCCGAAGCATGACCTTTCTGAAGACGGAAAAAGTGAAATATTCAACAATTCTTCAAATATAGCAAGAGAATTTTCATAAGGCATTTGTCTGATCTACCAGGAGAAAGATTACACAGCACTTAACAATGCAAAAGAATGATATCTGAAAATATAAAAGCAGAGACAAAGCAAGATAGAATAAGTTAATTCGAAGGAGATTCTCAGAATCGTGAAGTAGGATAACATTCAGAAAGCCAGAAAGACAAACCAAAGACGTAACGCAATAGCAATAAATGTCATCATTGGACAAAATATCACATTTAAGCTTTGCAACTATAGAAATGCAGAGACCGACATATCAACAAGCAATACTTAAAACATAACATGACTAAGCATTGGCAGTAAAAGTACTTACTTTCCCCATTAAGGTGGAGGATTCCATGAAGATAAAAGCATATCGGACTTAGCATCGGGCAGGCAGTTCCTAACAACAACGTACTTAGTTGTAAAACGAGTAACGCCAACGTCCTTGTAGTCCTGGTCAAAATCATAAATCTGCCTGAATAATTACATTGAGATACATACTCCATTATCATATGAATAACTCAGATAGTAAACAAGTAGCTTCAGTCTGCCAAAAGCAAATTTTAGACAGGTGGTAACCTCTAACCTAAATAAGTGAAAGTATGAGAACAAGCTCATCTACAACTTTTCAGGTAGTATTCTTTGACTACTAGTTCAACAAATCCAGAAAGAAAAGGAAACAGAACCAACAAAAACGAGTATCAAATGGAATATTTCATCTTCAGAACCATGACCAATTTTAGACATCAACAAGTGCAATAGCTGACCACGAACTAGAACACTTTGATGTGACAAGATGCAATTCCATCATGGGTGAAAGCTAAACTTGACTATAATTATAGGAAACAAAACCCACGCGTTATTCTATGACGTACTCACCATGTCATTTATCTCAACCTCGGCCAAAGATTTACCATCTACAAGCATGCTCCAAACCACTTTGTTGATTTGTAAAGATATACGCATAGCATATGATGGACTTTTATTCTTCTCCTTCTCCATTAGTCGTAACTGGGCGGCTTTCTGTAGGGCCGCCCTAAGTGCTAAAGATGCTGCCTTCCTCGATTTTTGTGAATCTAAAAGCTCTCTCTGAAGTCTTGGAACCTGCAGAAATGAAGCTTGTATGCTTTGTGATGCAATACCACAAAAGAAAAAAAAATGCCATAATATCAATAGCAATTTGTTACGTTACTTGAGTGTTTTTATTTTTATTTTCTGGGTTTTATTTCTTTTTATCTACATAAGGGTATTTTGGTCATATACAATTTACATTCAATATAAGCGATAGGAGTAGGGCTTCAGCAACATAAGCCGTCAATCCCTTGTTGGCTTTTACGATATGTTTCTTCCACTTTTCTTCTCCTCTCTATTTCTTCTCTCTTGTCTATTTACTAGCTTTGTCACATGGTATCAGAGCAGATTTGACTACTCGATTCCTTGATCCTACTGCTGGTTTGAGAGTCCTCTAATAACACTTTTCTTCTCTGGTGCACAGCCACCCAAAGCTGTAAGTTCTACCTATTTTTCTCTTCTAGTCTTGATACACATAAGACCAGGAGAAATCAGATCCACCAAGTTCAGTTTGCGACTATGGAATACAACACTTACTGATCAGCGAATTCAAGGATCAGAATTTTTCGTTATGATCGGTGTTGCAGGATTTCCATTGAAAATATAATTAATTTAATGGGATTTTTTTTTTCTGGTGAGATATTTTTCTTCTATACAGCAGCCTATATTTTTGAGATTTAAGCATCCCCTTTGTGAAATCGATGGAGCCAATTGCTTCTGATCATATGTCGGTATTGATTATGTCACGCCCTGAACCCCGCTATGGTCGTTATGATGCGACGACCCAGGACTCGTCGCCAACCCTTTTCTTTTTATCTTTTAATTACGCATGCGGAAACGATCACAACAATCCCCGGACAACAACAATAAACAGGGATAGTTAGGAAAACAATTCACAACAGTCAAACCACACTATTTTGATTTTCACTTGATTAACCCCTGGGAACATTCTTACAAGCCCACATCGGGCGCTACCACAAAAGCCAGCAAAAAGAGTAAAGGCTAGGGTTAATCTACTCCATCAACAAGTCGATCCCAAAAAGCCAGCTTCCAGACGCCCTGAACCAAACTGGGTGCAACAACATGCTAGGGGCCTGAAAAGTGGTTAACAACAACAAATGAGACAAAAGTTTCAATAAGTTAACAGCCTAAGCCCCGTTTAGGAGGCTAACTCGCACGGGGGTCCCTAACCAGGCAATACAGCATCAACAGCACATCATTAAACAGTCACAGGCATCCTTACCTCGCCTTGGGACACTCGTTGATGAAATGCATATGTCGCAAACTCGAAGCATCTAGATCAATTACTCATGCATCGATGCATCACAAGCGGGCGTGTCCCGATTATAAGATAGAATCCACTTGAGCACGTCCAATACCATGCCTAGCAGTTTCTACCACATAATCAGGCACTATGCATCACACGTATTCCAGTTATTACGCCCCCTCGGGGCCACCACACATCAAGCGATACGCAGCAAGATGGCGGTCTACCGGTAAAAACCGGGCTCCGTCCCGCCCCGTCGAGCACGGCTACGTCAAACAATCTACAGTAAGACGGCATTCCAATACGGCAACATCAAACGATCTACAGTAAGATGGTATCCCGTAAGGAGCATCGAGTCCGGCCTCGGGCCGCGACAAGGCATCCGGGGTATCGGCACTCCAGATAATCCCCAGGCATCCGATAAATCGGGCATCGTCAAGCGATACACAGCAAGACGGCTCCAACATGTGACCACACGAGCAAACAAGCATTCCGGCCAATTATTATCTTCTCAATTAGCCCATGCATACATGAATCGTGCTCTCCTCGATGTCATACAATAATACCAAGTGGCCACACATGCAAACAGTCAACCAATTCTTGCAAGCTTCGATATCAAACACGAATATCAACTACCAAGTATCAATAACATTACTTGGCATAACAGAATAAAATAATTTAATTCCAAAAGTCTCATAAATTTTCCACAGAAACTTTCGATCAAATAATTTGCCATAAAATCAATTTAATACGACAATACGCGGCAAAATCGCCAACATTCAAGCTAGAAATCATAATTTGAAATTACAAATTTTCCGAAATAACAATAAATTAAATTCGGAATTAATTAATTACTAATATCCGAAAATAATTTAATTTTTCAAAATGTCAAAATATTTCCTCGAATCGAAATCATTCAAATCATTTCCTAAATACGCCAACTTATACGGCGAAAACCAACATTGGCATCACAATTTGACGCTAGAAATTTTCCGAAAATAATAACATTTAATTTTCGGAAATTAATTATTTAATAATAAAATATTAATATTTAATCCGAATTTATCATTTAATAAAATAATATTTAATTCCAAAATAAATTCATTTAATAAAATAATCAACAATAATAAAATAATTAATAACCTATCATCAAAGATCATCTAATAATCCAAGATTAACTTAATCTAAACCTTAATTAAACTACCCTAAGCAAGTTTAACACCCTAAACACGGGATTAGGGGTTAACTTACTCGGCTAACACCGGCGATGACGCGAGGACGACGGCAGCGACGAGGGCGATCCGCGGTGGTTTCCGGCTCGGCCCGGCGAGTGACAGACGGGCGACGAACGAGCGCAGCTGCTGTGGGGGCTGCTCCGGCGTGGCTTGGCTGTTCCCGACGACTGGGACAGCAGCGGCGACGGTCGGAGGTGGACGGCGGAGTCGGTCCCGGCAGCGAACGGAGCTGGGTAGGGCGAGCTCGGTCCGGCGAACGTCCGGGACGGCGGTGGTTCACGGCAGGGAGGAGCGGCGCTCGGCGGTGGAGGAAGAAAAGCGGGCGGACCGGCGAGGACACGACCCGAGCGTGGCTCGGCGGTCCGACAATGAGCGGTTTTGGGGTGATAGCGGCAGCGCGGCTCAACTTAGGGCGGAGCCATGGTGGCGCGATGAGCACGGAATGCGGGGGTTTAAGTTGGCCCGTTTGTTGTGGGATCAGAGGAGTTTCGGATAGGCTTAGGTTTTGGGGTCATTTTAGGGCATATATATTGTGCTCCTTTTTTTTATAGATCATTGTAACGAATTGTAAGGCGCTTAATGATAATTCATTAAGTTCAAGCCCCCTCTTTCTCTCTTTTTTTCCCCAAATTTGATTACAATTTACATTTTAATTACAATTTATATTGAATAATTCATTATTTCATAATTTCATAATTCATAATTTTTTTATTTCATAATTTATTTTTAAAATTTTTAAATTATGAACCGAAACCGGCCCGAAACCGGAAGGAATCGGAACCGGCCGGTTCTGAACCGTGGTCATGCCTACTATCGCTTATATCGAATGTAAATTGTATATGACCAAAATACCCTTATGTAGATAAAAAGAAATAAAACCCAGAAAATAAAAATAAAAACACTCAAGTAACGTAACACTCTCCCTCAAGCTGGAGCATATAGGTCACCCATGCCTAGCTTGGAACAACCAGCAACAAAGGCAGAACGAAACAACGTTTTAGTGAACATATCAGCAAACTGATCTCTAGAGGCAACGTAAGGAGTAGAGACCAACTTTCACTTCACAGCATCACAAATAAAGTGACAGTCAACTTCTATATGCTTGGTTCGCTCATGACAAACAGGATTCTCAGCGATATAAATAGCTGCTTGATTATCACACATCATATCAGTAGGTTGGTTAATAGAAAATCCAAGCTCCTGGAGAAGGGATTTCAACCACAACAATTCAGCCATAGTATGTGCCATAGCACGATATTCAGCTTCTGCACTAGACCTGGCAATGGTAGTCTGTTTCTTGCTTCTCCAAGTAACCAAATTACCACCAAGAAAAGTGCAATACCCAGTCGTAGACCGCCGATCACACGCTGACCTAGCCCAATCAGTATCAGAGTAGCCAACC